CTCGTGGAATTGAACGTAGTTCTTCAATGAGGACAAGTTAGTAAACGATTTCGTTTGCAAGATAATAACTGGTAGCCTGCAATTATCATTCACTTATCGACGCAAAACTGTAACAAGCTGCATTCGGAAAGTTATAGACAACCCGAAACCCGTCAGTCGTCAATTCCTTTTCGGGAACTGTTCCATCGGGCTTCAAAACACGGCGATAAAGTACACAGATACTGCCCTCTGGAATTCGTACAGTTAAATAGAATTGCTTGGGATCTCACCCATAGTCTCTAACTCATTCAGTTAGATTAGTGTTTCTGATTCATCCTTACTGTGACACCGTAGAATGAATTTGAAGGGCCAGAAACGCCCCCTTATAATTGCATGGTGGAATAGAGGACGTTCTTCCGTCCCGAACTAAATTCCTCGGTGTATGGACAACGAACTCGGTAAGAACCAAGAGAGTCCTCCATTTCTCTTTGTGTAGGTTCATATACGTATGCTGTTCCAAGATCTTCTATATATAGCTGCTTCATCCAAATGATATTTCGCGATAGATTCCCTGACAAAATCTCCAGGTTCACTCCCCGCTTATGCTGATGTACGGTCGACATCGGTGCCTTCTGGTTAATCAGGAAACTGGTTTGTGGCCGGCAACCTGCTTGTCTCCGGAGGAGCTAGAGGAAGAAAGAAGGAGAGCTCGAGAAAACTTGGCCGCCGTTCAGGAAAGGACTAGGCAGAAAACGGCAAGTAGAAAGGCGCGATCATTCCCCATAGACGCGAAGCTCAAGTGGAAGGATCATCAGAATCCTGGAAGGAGTGAACTGGGGTCGCGGAAGCTAGGCAGTCGATGGCAAGGGCCGGTTGTCGTTACCGACCGCCGGGGAAACGTCCATAACAAACAAGATGGTCGGGGATCAAAAGTAGTGAATAGGACGCAGCTTCGTAAGTGGCATGATATACCCGAATAGCGGCCGAATAGACTTGCTGTCGAAGCCGACCTGACGGAGATAAATGGAAATCGATGGCATGCGAATGACCTTTGAAGGGGGAAGGTGCGTAACTAAGGATACTATTAATGGGAGAATGCGGGTAGTATGTTTTCTCGTAAATTCGCTTCGCGTCCCCTACGGAGTTTGTGGAGTAGCTTTGTAGTTTTTGCTTGCATTTGAGTAGCAGTCAATGAATATCCAGAAAAATTCAGGAAG